AGCGAGTCTTCTGCGCGATAATAAACGGGCAGAGAGTGGATGTGATCGAGTTACTTCGACTGTCTTAACCTTTCGAGGAGGGGAAACACCTGTCAAACCTGTGAGATTCGTTTCGTGAGAATCGTCTGGCCGATTTTCTCTCTTTGTCGAGGGTGAAACGTACGAGGAGAAGTTTGACGCTGGCTGATTGCGCCGGTATATATATATATATATATATAGGTTTGGGATACCAAAGGGAATGATGATCGCCGTGGGGGACGTGGAAACCGGAGGTTTTCCAAATCGTCCGAAATTCCGTGGTTACGTGGATAAGTGGATTGAGGCGAAGCATCGAATTAGTGCTATTCGATCGATATATCCCACTTTCAGGAAACTTTCTAATTCTTTGAGATACATTCTGTGAAATTGTATACTTTATGCGACGTTATATACAGTTCATCCCCCTTTATCTCATCTTTCACTTTTGTAACTTTATCTTCGCTGCAAGTTGACTTTATTTCCATCCACTTTCCCCAGGTGAAAAGCGTCAATTTTCTGTCCATAATCATCTATGGTTACACAACGCAACATCCTTTCTAACATTTTTGTACAAAATATCGTAGTGACAATAAGGATAGTGTACGAGTATTTTATTAAATGCATTCCTAAATACATTCTTCATGGATCTTTACAGCTGTCCATATTGTTACATTTTCAAAAATAAATAAATTAAGGTTGGTAACACTGATACAACTACAATATTCCAAAGGAATTGGTCGCGAAAAACGAGGCCTTGCGTTAAATTACGATCACCATTTATCTATCGCTAAATTTTTCCAGAAAAACTAAGAATCAAACTTCACGATTACGATTTTAACATTCAAGATCTTCAGAAAAGATAAAATAAAAAAAAAAAGAAACATTCTAACGTACATCCTTGAAAAATTGGCAAAATTTTTCCAAGAAATGCCCACTTTCGATTCGATATTTGGTAAAAAGAAGAGAGAGAAAAGAAAAGGGAAAAGAAAAACAGATTTAATTGTTCCAAAATAAGGGAATGCGAGTTATGCAAGCTCGCGAGATCCTGATTGCGGATATTTAATGCATGCTAACGGAAACGTGAACGGTAGGCAAGCGGAACGCGTGTAGGGCGGTCAGTACAACAGGTACGATAATGCGTGCTCCCGGTTTGTTTATACCGGGGGGGATTAAAATAATGCATCGATGCACCGGTCCGCCGCATTGAGCCAGATGAAGAGATTTAGCCGCTGCGCAAATTACATACGCATTAACGGCGGAAATACAGCGTACGTAGCCGAGGTGCGTGTGCGTGAGCTACGATAAATGCGCGCGCGCGCGCGCGTGCTCTTTGTGCAAAGGAGCGAGTAATAGGATTCGATTTCAGTTGTGTTCGAGTGTGTGTTTCAAGGTTTCCAGCCTTGCTTCCCAACTGTCGCCAAGAATTGATGGATAGGTTGATTTAATGCAACTGAGTGAAAAGTTGGTGAAATTTTGTAACACCGGTGGGAAGAAAAATTGCGATTTTTGCGCTAACTTTTGTTGGAACGACTTAAGGTTAGGTTAGGGAGGGAGGCTTGTTGTTTACGCGAATTATCACAAGGGAAATTAGTTTTAGAAAGGAACAGACAGATGTCTGTTGAATTTAGATTTGTGTAAGGAATATTATTAAATCTTTCGAATCTATCGCTCTAAATGTTCGGATAGACGTAATTATAATTACTTGAACATTTAGGTAATCGAATCTTATCGATTTCGAATTTTATCTATTAATTACAAATATTGCGTTATCTAATGTCAATATTCGTGGAAAAACTTTGGAAAGTCGAAGCAAATGGAAAAATATTAATCAAAACTTATCCGTTAAGTTTGAATCTAATAGAAACCCAAACCTAACCTATAATTGCATCATTACGATCTAAATTTTCTTCACGAAAAATCATTTTTGAATCATTCGAGAATTTAACGTCGAATAAGCCAATAATCGAGATGAGCATGTGTTTCGCGACGATTAATATCAATTCATCCCGATTATATTGCACGTTAAATCGTAATCTAATTTAACCTAACCTAACTTAATCAATTTAAGTTTGCATTAGATAGAGTAAGACGCGTAATATACTAAATAATAAAAATAGAGTTATATCCGATACTTTTCATTCGTGAACCCATATAAATTGCACCATTACGATTTTTCACTTTCACGAGAAATCATTTTCGAGGTAAACGATAAACGCGTGTTTCGCGACTATTAATATTAATTTATCTCGAATCCGTTGTATCGTAACGCACATTGTGATGTAATCTAACCTAACCTAACCTAACTTAATCGATTCAAGTAAGTGTATTAAATAATAAAAATAGAGTTGTATCCGTTGTATTATAACTAAATCTAACCTAACCTAACCTAACTTAATCAATTTAAGTTTGCATTAAATAGACATATAGTATATTAAATATAGAGTTATATTCGATACTCTTTTCGTTCGTGAATCCCATATAATTGCACCATCCGAACTTTCACGAGAATTCGTTTTAAAATTATCCGCGTCAAAGATTGAAACGTCGAACGAGGCGGTAATCGAGGTAAACGATAAACGCGTGTTTCGCGACTATTAATATTAATTTATCCCAATTCGGTTGTAACGTACACAGGATGCGACAAATTATTCCGCGGGACCGTATCGTTCTGCGGCGAAATATTCCGGCGTGCAGAGATTCCATTCATCCTCGAAACACGCGTAATTTTCCGGCAGGGAGGGCCCCTTCTAAATGAAAACGCATCGCTAAATCTCTCTCGGCTTTCAATTTCGCGTTGTAACGCCGTGCGGAAAGATGGCGCGCGGGTCGATTTTCGTTCAGCCTCGATCGGATCTTCTAATTATTTTTGGCAATTGTGATTAATTCGAAACGTGATAGTTGATGAGTTGTTTCTCGTTACATACATATATGTATGGAATATTTAGAAGGTGTATCGAAATAACGTTTTATTTTTAGCATTCCGCGAAATAAAACTGAAAATTGATTTTTGCTTCGGTTTCGCGTTACGATTTTGTAATTATTTTTGGTTATTTGGTTACACGATTGTGATTAATTTGAAACTCGATAGCCAGTGGTTCTTTTGTTGCGTCATAGAATATTTAGGGTGCGTGTAGCGTACGTGTATGCTCCCCCCCCCCTATGCATTCTGTGCGAAATAAAATTGAAAATTGAACAAATCCTTTTTTTCTTTTTCTTTTCGACCATTATATTTTAGCCGAGTATTGCGCGAAATATTTTATACGCGTGTATTTTTTCATCCGACTATTCTTGCCGTTTTACAATAAGTGGATTTTGTGAAAAAGAATTTTAGGTTGTTATTAATATTAATTATTTTGTATAGAAAGGAAGAGTTGCACATTTCAAAATTCGTTCCTCGCGAATTAGGATAATTAAAATTAATGTAAACCCACTTGAAAAATTTCGTATCTCATATCCAACGGCCATACACTTTATCTCCTTTTCACGGGATACTAACTTCACAACCTCGTTTTCTACGAAATTTTGTACAACCTGCCTTTCAGAAAAATTTTCCCTCCACTTAAAACTCTACCGTAAAACTCCACGTATTTAACAAAAGAATTTGCTTAAAAGAAGTAAAAACAGCCGTTTTTTGCTAACGAAAGAATACTTAAATTATGTGTGTAAACGTTAGAAAGCTAAATTTTCTAGAAACCACGGTTTCGAATAGCCATAAAATATTAAGTAAATCACAAAGATTATTCAACTTGCAAAGTTTACGTATTCCATAAAAACGTGTCCAACTTTTCCTTTTCCTTTCTCGAAAAATAATAATCTAAATTTCCTCCTCCTCCTCCTCCTCTTCCTCTACAATTTCTCTCGCACGTGCGAATAATAAACCAAATCCTTAATCGAATCAATCGAATCGATCGTAAAGTAAAAGGAAAAATTTCTATCGAAACTTTCTGTTAATTTTCTTCTTTTTATTTTTCAATTCACTCGCACTCGAGTGTATTGATATAATTTCTCTGCTCTTGTCATCCAACAACAAATCCTCGAATAATTCGAACGGATTCGAAAGCTAACGTACTATTAGGGAACAAAATTTTGATTAGGGAAGGATGATTGAAACTGAAATCTGCGCGCGTGGCCAAATGCAGAGACAAAAGGGAAACAGAGAGAGGGGGAATGTTCCGTGCATAAAGTGCATCGGGCACACTATGGATAATAATGGATAATGATGGTCGAACGGCCGATCATCCGGCCGAAATCGATGATTCGATTGTTTCTCTTATTGCTCGGCTCGGCCATCCGCGTCCTGGTTACCAAGTGGCTCGATCATGCGGATCAAATTCGTTTTTGCTTCGATTTTGGTCTATGCAGTCCACGGCTAAAATCCTTCGATCCAATCGTATTCTCGATCGATTGAAAAATTTGATAATTGTAGGGATTGGACGAGAAATTTATATTCAAGAGTTCAAAAGGTGAAATTCTCACGCGTCGATTATATAATGCATTATATGTTTTAACGAGATGCAATTTGCCAGGAATGCGAATAATTTAACGGAAATATTGCATATTTTTGGATCTAATCGATCTGAATTGAATAATGAATAATCGCTTGGCAAATTTGGGGTTTGATCGATTTGTTGTCTAATAGATACTTTATTCCGAATTTGACCATTTAATTCTTCCATTAATCGTTGAAATTCATGGACAATTTTGAGCGCGATTGAAACCGATTTTGACCGTGAGAAATGAATAATTAAATTTCGTTAATTGCTCGTTCTCCTATTTAATTCGTTACCGTTGTTAGTTTGTTATTTTGGAGGACTATATCTCGATTAATTATTATTATAATTGCCGTTCTGCTCCTATTTATCCGTTTAACGTCAACGAGTTCAATATTATAAACGAGTATCTGTCTGAAATCTTGTCGTTATAAATAAAATCAACCGTGTATAATATTCTCGTTCATTCGAAATAGATGGATTCTCATTTACCTGATTTTTCCCTTTGAGGACGAGGACGTTTGTGACACGGCCGAAGGGGATGCCAAGATGGATGATCTCACCCTCCGATACTTCGTTGGGGATGTTTCTGATGTGGATAACCCTCGAAAGTTTGCCGTTGTGGCTCTTGTCGAGTTTAACCTGTGCACAATTCACAAAGTTCCTGCATTAGTTGGTCACAAGTTACACATTCAAAGTTTTACTCGAATTGCAAAATGTCTCGTTATAAAAACGGTCTCGGTCTCGAATTACAATTCAGACACCGTTCTGATGGAATTTCCGACAATTTTCGACAATTCGAATAATAAAATTATTTTAAAAATTGCGACGGTTATTCGAAAGAAAATTTGTTCCCGAGAATAATTCAAATAAAACATCTTCCAACGTCATTAGTATCCAGTGTAATCGCTCACGACGCTCAATAACAATACTTGGAACGAGGTAAAACGCGACATTAGACCCAAGAGATGAGATAACCGAGAGAAATACTCGTCATTACTTATTTCACAAGAGAAACCAATCGCAAAAAATATTCCCACCAGGTTCATTATACTATCTCATAGATAAGGTTTCATCGAGATGAGAACAATAGTAACGCTCATCGTCTTCGAACGAGTACATCCCAAACGACGAGGCCGTGTTAATTCCTCTCTATTCTCGTCGAAATAAAAACGAAATCGCGAGAAACATTTCCGCCTCCTCCGTTCAAAAATTGCATTCGAGAGGGGAGGTAGCCCGCCTCTTAAAATTCCATCAGCCCTCGTTAAAACGGGCGCACGCGTGCAGATCACACTCACAAGTGACGAAACTTTTCGCCCGGTTTCGTATAAATTTAAATCGAAATCCCGCCGCCGGCGGAATTTTCAATCACGGTTCAATCTACTCGAGACTCTCTGCCCCACTCTCGCTGCGCACCGCAGCCCTGTTCTTCCTTCTTCTTCTTCTTCTTCTTCTTCTGTTCCCTTCAAGCCCTGCCTCTCTTTTATTCGAGACGAGGTTTCGGGTTTAACCGATCGGAAAACGCGCTTCTTACCGAGTTAGAGAGAGAAAGAGGGGGAGATACTTCTACACGCTCTGTAAACCCTTCTTCCAGATGTTCTCGTTCGACACGCGTTGGTTAAGGTTCCGACGACGTCCTATTTCCCTCTTGTTTGAAAAGTAGTTACAGCGGCACGTGGAGGAGGGGGACGAAAATTTTGTTTCTCGAATTCTTCCAGGTATTCGTCAATTTTTGTTAACAACACGCTTATTAGATAACGCAAGGTACGAAGAGAGTTGAATCGAAGGAGCATTAAAGAGAAAAGTTAAGAGAAAGGATACGACGAATACGTGGTAAATCCAGGTTATTTAAACACAGGTGGAGCATTAATATTTACTCTCGAAGAATCGAGTATCGGAAATAAAACGATTACGCGAAGGGGATACGCGAATTATCGTGGTTACAGGGAATAATGGTGGGACGGATTAAATCTTGCCTTCGAGAGATTTCTTGGGACGAGATTGTACGACTCGAATGCGAAGTGATCGGTCGTGCTCGCGTATAATAGCGTATTATATTCGTATATTATTCGATAATCGAGCGCGCGTGCACGATGCATAACGAAGGCATCGTTTCGCATAATTCATCGTTGCGCTAGATGTACGCAGGATTCGTAATCGAACACTTTAATTGCCGCATAATGCGGCATTACCTACTTCTTCCGCCTGTTTATATCGTTACGTGTATTATTATCCTTTTTTTTTTTTTTAATTGCATTCCATCATCGAGAGGAATAAATAAATAAAGCGATGTATCAATGTTTAATACATTCGATTCGATTCATAGATACCGATGATGGACGAGAAAATTGATTTATATTTAAGTTATATTAATAGTTTTAATAGTATAGAAATAATGATCTCGTCGAAATAAATAATTACGTTTGATACTCTCAAAATCCTTGTTTTATGGATATGTTAAATATAAATTTCTTTGGAAGTAAAAAAAAAAAATGCAACGTCCAATCTGTATGATGTATGTATAGTCGTCGAGCTTGTTAAGAAGAAATCATTGGGATATTTTTTATCGTGAAATAGACGAATATTTTTTGCTTGATAAACGATCGTTCTTTTTTTTTTTTATTTTTTTTTTTTTTTTTTTTTTAGAAATCAGGAAAGTTTAGAGAAATTGCATATCGAGATATTTATTTAAAAATTGATCTTCTCCGAGTGACAGTTAATAAATCACGAGGAATATATATTTGTGAGGGATACATGATCAAAATTTGTAGGTGTCCCAGTATTGTAGACGTCGATTTGCCTGTCATCCACGTGCCACATGGAAAAATGCACCTGGCAGATTGAATATCGTTTTCCTATCATTTATCTTCTCCGGATAAATTGACGATTTTGTAAAAAAAATTTGCCAATAATAATTTCACTTATCTCTTACATGAATATCACTCTCCAATCCCATCAGATCAAAGAGATAATCGATACAAAAATAAAAATTCATATCTTCGTGATACACATTGACAATTAATTTTTATTTCATTCTTCAAACGAATCATAGCTAATGATTTCAATTATTGTCAAGATTCTAAAGAATCTTTCTCAACAATCTTTTCGCAAATTCCCGAATTCCGTATTGATCCCGAACCGATCGAGAACGTTAAACAACATCGTTAATACAACATCGAAACAAGCGAAGAAGAAAAAAAAAAAAAGAAAAGAGAGGTCAGTTTCAGAGTCCAACATGTAACAACTGCCGAATGCTCTTCGAGACTTAAGGGGCGGAAGAATTGGGGCGGGATCAAAAGAAATCGAGGGTTTAATTTCAAAGGCTAGCCGAATCCGCCAGAAGCCACTTGAAGAGACTCGAATCTCTGGAAAGAAACGGTGGAAAACTCGTTGAGTGGATACTTTTACGTGCTTCGAACTTTCGAACGACAAGGGAGGACAATAAACGAGAGTGAATTATATATATATATAGATTGTACGAGAATGATACGGATTAAGAAAGAGATGGTGATTGCACTAATAACACAAATATTTTTCAATACTTGTATCTTCTTCGTAATAATCTTTAATGCAGAAAATCTTCAATTTTTACTTCCGCTTAAATCCATCATCATTTATCTGATCTAATTTACCTAACACCATTAATTAACGTTAAAAAAAATTAATCCGTTTGAAAATTTCGAAATAAAACTGCTCGAGCGAAAATTTCATTTATAAATACTCGAATATTTATACGTTAATTTTATTCGACGCTATGAATAATAAATTACTCGAGTTTAATTTATCGAAATGATATTTACCCACCTGTTAACCTAACTCGTTATTCTAACTCTTTCAAGAATTCTAAATCGCGTAGAAGAAATTTAATAAAATCACGGGTGGAGGGTGGTAGGGAGCGGCGAGGGGAAGGAAAGTTGGGGAAAAATATCCCGGTCGGACAAAAGTCGAGCGCGAGCAATTCCGAAGAAGAGGCTATCAAATGAGACACTCGAGATGTCGAGGGCGAAACGACGCGTCACGCGAGTGGCTGTCGATCGCAGGGAAGAAGAGGCTTAATTGGCCGGCGTTTCCCTCGCTCTAGCAAAGGTAGCTTAGGCAACGAGAAATGCTGCAAACAAGGTTTGCTTCGAGGATCGTTCAACCGTCCTCCACGACGACCTCGAGGACCAGTTCGTGCGCCTGGACAACGTGCTGCCTCCAGTGTCTTCGTTTCTTTCCACTTATCCGTACCAAACTTGACCGATAATTTCTTTTCCCTCCCCACTCCTGTCTTTCTCTCCGGATCTGGGCTTATCAAGCTTGTCCGATCACGAAATATTTATTACCTTCGAGTAAAATCGTTTTTAGTTTCACTTTTAAATATTCCAAAATCTTTAATTTCTCTTTGTCAATAATTTTCAGGGAAACGTTCGTGCTTTATTTTATATGCTGTTGCACGAAGGAAGAGTGGATTGCATAATTTTTCGATTTCGTTCAACGCAATGGAATGATGATGATGATAATAATATTTGGAAAATTTGTCTACTCGCAAACGTGATCTTTATTATTACAAAGGGTTAACTCGAAGGGATGATAAAAATACTACTACTTTCACTCTCCCTTCAGTTTCTAGGCAGGCCTTCTCGTCTCGCCGAGAATACGTCTTCCTTCATCCGAGCCGATAATTGGACATAATAGAGGCAATTCGCGGAAAATCGCTTGTAGGAAATGGGTACCGTGACCTCCTCCCATCGGCTGATAACGAGGGAGGATGCGCTCCGCCAACCGGAAGTCAACATTCCAATTCCGTTAGAAAATGCCCCGCCACGGAGGACCCTACCGTTTTCTACCCGGAGGAAACAAGCGGTGCCATTTTCTCCCCTCCCCCCACCCCTTCCCTCCCTCCCTTTCACCGTATTTTACAACCCTTTATAATATTCTTTCCTTAAATTTCGTAAATAATCGCGAATATTGTTTCGTTTAAGAAACTTCAACGACGAGTTGAACTACACACAAATTTATCGTTTTAATAATGTTATTTTACGAATAACGAAAAATTAACGAACAAAATTTCCTTAAAAATTAACTTAACAAAGATAAAAATTGATTTGTCAAAAAAAGAAAAAACAGGAAATTCAATAATATCGTCTAAAAAGCTAATGTAAGATAAAACGTAAAGATGAAATGAAATTTTCAATTACCATATCTGCCGAAAATCGTAGAGGCACAACTATAACGTGGCTGGAACACACGGGCCAAATGCCGCAAAGATCTTGCAGAAATATCTGCAAGAGATGCACCGCAATATGCAGTGGCAAACAAGTTCTGACGCGATGCATCGTTCAAACACGCGAGAGGGGTAACCGATCCTGCTCCAATAATAAAAATCAGCTGTCGCATTATTCGTGGAGAGGAGACTCGGTCCAACGAGAGATTCCCATCGATATCGTCCTGTTTATCCTGTTCCATCCAGCTACGACGAGTCTATCCCGCTTTGTCGTCTCTGCGCTCAATAGGGTTTTCGCTAACGCGATTGAAAATCTGCCCTGAATTCCGACGTATAGTATATGCCACGTGTGAGAAATCGTGATGATTTTTTTTTTTACTTCTACTTGTACGATTGTATTATTTTAGTTGAATTGTATGTAAAATGATGATAAAAA